ACATAAAGAAACGTCTTGAAATACCAAACAACAACAAAAGGATATGGCATTTAAACTGAGGCTAAAAGAATAGAAATCAGGCCCAAAGGGAGTGGGGGGAGGGCGTGCAATGACGTTTCAGAAAGAAATAGAGAAACACACACACACACACACACACACACACACGCACGCACGCACGCACGCACGCACGCACGCACGCACGCACGCACGCACCCTAAGCTGCTCTCCTGTGGCCAAGAGCTGTCAAAGGGCGAGTTCTAGTACAAGTCTCTCATCCAGTACGACTAGAGCCAGAAGACACGAGGGTCTGCAACACTGTTGGTAGAGCGGGAAGTGAGGTGAGCCCTGCACTGCACAGGACAGAGTGACCGCACAGCACTTGTGCCTGGCAGCAGAGAGCTCCGCACCAGGAGACGCGTGGCTGTAGATGCAGAGGGCAGGAAAGGGACGGAAAGGCCAGGGACGCAAGGATAAGGCAACAAGGGGCCTAGTTGGCCGGGACTGGACACTTCTAGGCCTGGGGAACTGAAATTCAGAGATCTCCTCATCACGTTAGGTCCAATGACTACACTACCCAGCTGAACTGATAATGCTGTTCTTTAAAGATGACGCGATAATGCATTTTTATTTTTATTCTGATTTTAAAGTAGCACTATTCAAACCAGACTAATCACTTGCTAATACAGTAAGCACTGGTAAACAGTGTCTTCTTTAACATGTGTGTTCATTGAGCACTGCTAACTACCTCAGAGATTTCAAGGCCCTATGCAGCAGCTTAAGACGCTTAGCCACGGGCCAGTGAGATGCTCAGCAGGCACACAGGCTTGTCTCCAAGTCTAACTACCTGAGTTCGATCCCTCAGACCACATCCACAGTGACCTTGACCTCTACATCTGGCCGCCATATTCACGCCATCACCAACACACACACTAGCCAAATTCAATTTTTAGAAAGAAGAGGGAGATGAGGTTGTGGACCTGCCTGAGCTGATGGAGTAAGTGGGGCTCACACCTAGAGCCCCCGTGTTCTTTACAGACATGGTCCTGGTCACTTTCCTATAGTGCATAGGCCTGACTTTCCATGTACCTCTCTCTTCATTCTCCGGCGACTGAGTATACAACGAAAGCACTGAAGCTGCTCTGAAACAGTGGTTCAAGATGTGCTCTGGAGTTCGGGACCAGTGTGCCCCTTGGGCTTGTCTGAGGTGGAGGCAGCTCCTACTAACTACAAGTGTTGGTCAAGGGTCGCGTCCATCCTCTATGGAAAGAGCCGGGGTTGCGGGGACAGGTTACTGCACAAAAGGCCCGAGCAGAAGCATGGTGCTTTCCACGAGCACACTAGCCTCAGCCGCTTGTAATTACGCCTTTTCAAACAGCTTGGCTCTTCTCTTTCCTCTCATACAGACCTAACCTCTTCTGGCTGTCTTTTCTGCAGGGTCAGAAACACTATCTGGATTCCTCATCTCCTCTATTTGCATCCCTGCCTGCCTTCCTCACTCGCCCGACACACTTGCGCCCCGTTACACACGGCAGGGCCCTCACGGCTGTGGCACACCCTCCCACTCCCTGTCTGGCTCTCGCTCTCATGTAGTCACGTGGTCCTTACGAAGCTTTTCATTCCCAGGCTCTTAAACGCCAAGGTGCCAACAAAACCCCTCAGAAAGCCACCTTTCCAGATCTCCCACTGCAAACTGACCCCGCTGCCCGATTCCCTCCCGAGACTTCCAGAGTGACTCTCTTACTCTGTCCCCTAACTGTCAGCTGCATCCAATGTTACTGTTGGCTCTTTCTTCTCTGCTCTTCTAATTAACTCATTAACTAGTACCTCCACTCTCATAAATACCAAAGTTACATACAATCACGGTTTTGCCTGCCATGTAAGCAACCATCAGTGAACACTAGGACCCGGAATTTAAGTCATCTCCCTATCTGGCGACTCTAAAGAGCACCAATCTCCTGGTCTAGTTAACTGATCAGCAGCAGCTCCGTTCCCACCTTTCTATCCGACTGGATCACCATCCAGCCCAGCCTAGCACACGATCAAGATGAACTCCCCAAAACTGCTACCACAAGGTCTCTGGCATCGAATCCAAACCTCCCCTTCTACCCTGAGAAAACTCTTAGCACTAGCCTATGCCCGAGGGACCACCAAATGCAGGTCTCCCTTTGAGAGTGAAGCAGCTGTGACTCACAGGAACTACCCTGCCTGAGGTCACGGATCCTGTAGCAGAGTCAGACCCAAAGACGCAGATGGCCAGGTGGGGGCCGCCACAGCACTAGCCTGTGAAACCCCAATCCGGGACAAGTACCTGCCTCCATCTCCAAGCCTGTGACACACCAGTGACACCCATCTGTCAGGCTATGTTGGGCTAGGGAGGACTCCTCCTGACATTCCCAGATAAACCGCATCCCCTTTCTTCAGCCCTTTCCATCCGGGACATAACCTCACCAGCTGAACAGACAGCCCAGAAGCCAGTGCTAAGGGGCTGTAGGAACCAGTGAGCATGTGCCGATAGCTGACCAGAGGCAAAGGGATGAGCACAGGCACTGTCTGTCCAGACTTCTAAGGTTCGTTACACAGCCCTCCCATTTTCATACACAATTAACCAAAATGGCTAGATACTTACTGTCATGAAACACTGTCACAACTGTGTATTGGAGGTGCTCTCAAACACCCGTCAAAAGGTGGTGGATCCTTGCCCAATTTTAACCTAAAAGACAAACAGCTCTTAATAGTAAAATGCACAGTCTACAGGCTTTCTTAAAATTAGAGACAGGTCATCTCTCCTAGACTTCTTCAATGGAGAGTCTACAGGGAGGTTATGTTTCTAACATAACCCTTAGTTTCCAAGACAGGGTTTCCCAGTAGCTATGGAGCCTGTCCTGGAACTCACTCTGTAGCCCAGGCTGGCCTCGAACTCACAGATATCTGCCTGCCTCTGCCTCCCGGGTGCTGGGATTAAAGGCATGTGCTACCACTGCCTGATCTGAATTTAACAATATTCATCATAATACTCCAAATAAGGGGCCAAACTATATGTATTAACACCAAGACAGAAATACCCCATCTGTTAACTTCAATTTTTAAGGATGGCTTCTTTAAATGTTTCAGGGACATATAAATTCTTTTTAACTCAAAAGGAAGAAAAAAATTTATGTCAAACTGTAATGCATTTATCTTACAAGTAAAGACACACACCACCCAAAGGGCCCACCAAAACAAAAACTCCACAGGGCCCTTATTTGTAGTTTTGGAGCACCATCATTGTGAACTAAAATGGCATCAAGACAGCGCTTCAGTCTCACTGTAAGGCAAAAATAACTGAGTAAATCAGAACCAATGACAGAACTGGCACCCTTCCTATTTACCGTTCCCTCCCCCCCCCCCTTTCAAACAATTAAATGGGGGTTTGCAAAACTCCTTCCAGTGTTAATGTTAAAGGAAGAATACTGGTTTCCACTGAAGCGTGGGATGTAGTAAATAGGGGAAGAAACGGGCTGTTGAGTTGAATTCTGAAAATGGCATTAAAGGACCAGACAGCCACGACTGCCTAACATATTAGACTCTTAAAAGTAATTTGTACCATCCTTCCAAATTATGTCCCTTTTCTAGATCCAAAACTGCTCCTGTAGCTTTAGTGTTTGAACACGTAAACACAGGAGCTGGGTATGTGTATGAATACTGCTTAGAAAGGGTGTGGGTTACCACACATGTAACCCAAATAGTTGGCTAAGTATATATTTAGGTTGCGTCCATTAAGAATAAAATCACGCAGTCACTGGGCATGGAAAACATTTTCCTAGGGGCAGGTTATAATCTGCAATAGCTCAAGGGAATCCATACATCTGCTTTAATGTCTGAGAAATGCAAATCTGCATCCAAGAAAAGCAGTCTTCCCTTCCTCCAACCTCCATTCTTTGGCATCGACAACCACAGTTTCGCATCGATAGAATCCTTAAATTAAGCTACAAGAGCAGTGCAGAGGAGGAATTTGCCTTTTAAAGGTATCCTGATAAAACTCTCAACACTTCATCCGTAAAGCTCCTGTTTATTAATGCCACCACTACTGGCGAGTTGAGCCATCACTTTCGGCTGCCGATCTAGTTTCCGAACTGAGAGGTGAAGCCACCCCGGTGATTTGTGGCACGATCCACAAAACTAGGGTCCTCAGGATTAGCGGGATGCCATTTTTTTTTTAAAGGTCGCCTGCTACCTAACCTTGCCTAAACCAAACAGCCCTGTTGTAGCACTTTGCGCCAGAAAAACGATCTGTGGGTGTTCGGTAATTCTTTGTTCTCGCAGACCCTCCCGCGCCCCCACCCCCCACCAGGCACGAGTGACTGAACCACCGTGCAAACCTCCAAGGTTCCCATCCCACCTTCGGGGCAAGTCCGGGGCGCGCCAGCCGCCAGATGGCTGCATACTGTAGGCGCGGAGCGGGCCGGGGGAGCGCCAGGCCGCTCGTTGCGCGGCTCGCAGGTGCCCGGGCGGCCCAGCTGAGCGCATCCCCCGCCGCCCGCACCCAACAGCCGCCGCCACCGCCGCCGGGAAGCGGGAGACAAAGCGGCCGCTCCGGGGCGCCGCGCTCGCCCGGGCCGCCTTCCCTCCCTCCCCACCCGCCCGCCCGCCCGCTCGCCCAACAAAATGGAGCCGGCCCGGGGGCAGCCGCCGCGAGAGCCCCGCAGCCGCCCGGCCCGGCCCAGCTCGGCCGAGCTCGCGGCCCCGCGCACAAAGCGCCCGCCGCCCCGCGCCCGGCCCGGCCCGAAGCACAGCGGCGGCCTCGCCCCGGAGGCCCGGCCCTTCCGGAGGCTGCGGCCGGAGAGCGGCCCCCCGACCGACGCGGCGTTGGGCGGCGGGGACGGCGCCGGGAGGAGACGGACATTTCATTCGAGCTAAAGTGGAGTCGGTTTAGGAGCGATCATTGGCCGAAGCGAGACACAAACCTCCAATGCAGCCCTGGTTGGCTCCCGTCTCCAATCGGCTGTTTGGTTGGACAGAAAATGGCTGCGAAGGAACCAGTCCCAGCGCGGAGCTCCACTTCCAGGACTCGGCCTCCCCTCCCTCCGCCGCGGGCCGCTTCCCTCTGCGCGACACCCTCCCTCCGCGGCTCCCGAGCCCGAGGCCACGCCCCAGACACGCCCCCTCCAGGACACACCACGCCCCCAAGCCCGCGAGCCAGCGAAGCGGCTAGTCCGGGAAAAGCGCGCGCGCGCGAGTGTGGGCGCACCCGGCGGGCTTTCGGGGCGCTCGGTACCTCCCTGCTGCAGGGATCCCGGGGAGCCCGGCGTCCGCACCCGCGTTCTCACCGAGCAACCGCGGCGGGTAGGTGGCGAGCTGGCTCGCTCCGGCCTCCGCTTTCCTGTTCCTTCTGCCCCACGTTCCAGCGTCTCGCCCGCCTGAGTTCTGCCCGGAGGGGATCGACACCAGAGCTACCCTTCCGGAATGCCATGGTCACCTCGTGTTTTCTTAGTGTCCCTCCAAGCGTCCTCAGGCACACTGCGTTCCCTCTCGGTCACTGAACATGGCTGTTAGTTTTTTAGGTTTCGTCTTAGCGCACCATCCCCCACCTTCCTCCAAGTTTCAGGTCGGCCAATCCATCAGACCACTGCCCTGGCCTGAAGATGCTTTTTTTTTTTTTTCTTGCTAGGCCCGCTGATTTAGTGGCTTGCTACCCGATGTGCCTGTTTCCCAACCAGTTGAGAGTGGGCTACAGAAACTCATGGCCTCTGCGCAGTCAAGGGCTTCCCTTGGTTACTGTGCTTCCTTAAGGTGGAGATCCAAACAAACACTCTGCTCGGCCCAACACTGCAGGATGCCTGCACCCGGAGCTGGGGATCTGTTTACTTTTGTGAACGATGCCTGGCACATTAACTTTATAGCTTTACTTATTTAAGAATCTGTGGGAAAGTATTGTCCTAGGAATTACAAGCATAAGTAAGCAAGAAAATCGAGAGTTCCAGGCCAGCCAGAGCTGCACAGCAAGACCGTTTTTAAAAACAGACAATAGTAACAATGAATAAAATCCTGGTGTTGTGCCTTAATGCCTTTAATCCCAGGACTGGGGAGACGTACAGGAAGACTGGAAATTACAGGCCATCTTTGGCTCCTTAGTACGTTCACAGTCAGCCCAGGACTCATCTCAAAATGGGAGAGGGGGAAAGGATGTGTGGATATATATTACATATAAGTAAACCAGGCTGTGGTGGCCCACGCCTTTAATCCCAGCACTCGGGAAGCAGAGAGAGAGAGAGAGAGAGAGAGAGAGAGAGAGAGAGAGAGAGAGAGAGAGAGAGAGGTGAATCTCTGTGTGAGTTTGAGGCTAGCCTGGTATACAGAGCAAGTTTCAAGACTGCGTGGGCTGATACACAGAGAAACCCTATCTCGAAAAAGCAAACATGTACGTGTGTGTGTGTGTAAAAATTACAGAAAGGTTGAGAAAGATGTTGTTTATTTGAGCTCCTACTATATTGAGAACATATAAATAGTTCTCAGGTAAGTAAGAAAGCAAGAAAAAAAAAGTTGCCTTAGCACAGTTAATAAAAACCCAGAGACAGATATTGGGGTTCAACCTGAAGGTCAGAAAAGCAAAGCAGCCAGTCACTAGCTTTTATCTTGACCAAAATGATGAGCCTGCTTCCAGGACTCTCAGAATGAAACTGTGTCTGAGAGCTGTTTCTTCCCCTTTTATATTCCTCTCTAGGGCTGGGATTAAAGGCCTGCACCACTACCACCCTGTTTCTCTGGCAATCAGTGTGGCTACTGGGATTAAAGGTGTGTGCCACCACTGCCTGGTCCGTAAGGCTACTGGGGTGGCTGTTCTACTCTCTGATCTTCAGGCACACTTTATTTGTTAAAATACAAACGAAATATTACTACAGGTTGCTAAGTTAGTCATTCCAAGAGGAGTAGGAGGCACTGGCTGTTTGATCTGATGGACTACCTAACTTGAATTTCAGGACCCCTTCTTACTGCTAGATTTACTCCCCTGTTATTTCTGTATAACAGAAATAATACTAACGACTAGGATTGGTTGCAGTTTATACATACAAAGACCCAAAATGTACCGTCCGTACTACTACATGTACTACGGTACTACACATGTAGTACGGAGCCTGCACTACAGGACCATGCGAGCCGGGCAAGAGCCTGGAGAATTAAACACACAAAGACACACAGACAGCGTGTGTGGCACACGCCTTTAATCCCAGCACTTGGGAGGCAGAGGCAGGCGGATCTCTGTGAGTTTGAGACCAGCCTGGTCTACAAGAGCTAGTGCCAGGACAGGCTCCAAAACCACAGAGAAACCCTGTCTCAAAAACCAAAAAAAAAAAAAAAAAGACACACAGACAGAGGCACGGGTCATCCTTGAAACAGGAATGCCCCCTTTATTGTGTACTAGAGCGGCTTATATATGGATCCTTAACTCATGATTAACTGCCAGGCCCCAGCCAAACCCACCAGAAGCCACTCCCCTGCCATCAGGAGCTCCTGGGGGGGTCTCATGCTCAGAGCAGCTGCAAACACGGGAAATCAAGTTGCTTAGAGGAAAATCAGGGTCTGAGGTCAACAGCCCCCAACACCAAAAAAAAAGTTAATTCTAAGATTTTTGTTTGGTCAGTTTATTTTTGGGGATGTTTCAGTGTAGTCCAAGCTGGCCTTAAACACAAGATCCCCTGGCCCTGGCCCTGCCTCTGCCCCCTGAGTAACTGAGACTATAGAGTGAATAAACTGATAGATAGAAATAGATTCACGTAGATATTCATATATATATACATATATATATGGATCTTTTGAATCCCACATATATACATTTGTATGTGATAAAATAAATTCCATATAGACGTATAGGATTTTCTAGAATGGATTACAGGCTGTGGTTCAGCTAATCCGACAATGGTTTGCTCTGTACGGAGGGGCCACAAATCCGGTTCAGCCCACAAGGCTGGTGCCTGAGCTTGTCTTCAGTGCACACTGGAATCCTGAAGAAGCAGGCTCTAATGCCAGCCAAGGAATGGCCTTGCTAGCAAGATTGAGGGCAAGCAGGCAAAAAGCAAGCTTCCTTCTTCCCTGTCCTTTACGTAGGCCGCCAGCAAAAAACCTGACCCATATTTAAAGTGGGTCTTCCCACCTCAGCAGACCCAGATTTGGGGTGGGTCTTCCCACTTCAAATGAGCCAATCAAGAAAAATCCCTCACAGGTGTACCCAGACACTTGTGATTTACTTACTTCCAGATATGGTCAAGTTGAATAGCCACCACAGCGTCCTTCATAGTATGTTCTCTGTTTCAAACCCCAATTCTAGTCGGGTGGTGGTAGCACACACCTTTAATACCAGCACTCAGAAGGCAGAGGCAGGCGGATCTCCATGAGTTCGAGGCCAGCCTGGTAGAGCTAGTTCCAGGACAGGCTTCAAAAGCTGGAACTTCAGCAAAAGCTGGGTCCTGCTGCCTGGGAGTGAGGTTGGAGAGTCCCCCACCCCATTCCCCCCCAGCCTTAGGCCAAGCACAGCCCAGCTGAGAGCTGAGATTAGAGCCCTCTTAATAAACCCAGAGCCACGGCCACATGCAAATTATTTCCCCACAGAGACTGAGACGGTGTTGGCTGTTTTCCCACAATTAGGGATGACTTGCTACACGGTACTAAATAATCAGTAGAAGCTAATGACCTAACAATTTGAAATCGCCGAATTGGTATGGCATGAACCAAAATAGCGTGAAACCGACTAAAAGTGCTTGTAAGAATTTTTTTTTGGGGGGGGCTCACTTTGTAGCTTAAGTTGGCCTCAATATGGAGGTCCCCCAGCCCTATCTTCCTAAGCACGAGGATTACAGTTGTACACACAACACCAAACCCAACATTTGCTTTTACGCTTACTAATTTGTATGTGTGTAATGTTCCCCTGCCGTGGCACATGGGTGGAGGTCAGAGGTCAGTTCCTCCTTCTGGCAAGTGGATTCCAAGGCTCAAACTGCCTTTAGCAGATGAACGCCCCTCGCTGGCCACAAGCTGTTTCCTAACGGAGGGACTGTCTTAGTCCAGCCTGCTGTCACCCATCTCTGAGATTCAGTAACTCACAGTGAACAGGGTGACTGGCTCATCGCTCTGGAGGCTGGGGAGTCTGGAATCAAAGGATATATGTTGCACCTGGGGGCATCTGGGAAGCACCTTCCTTTATCTCTTGGCCCACAAGTGTGTGTGTGGGGGGGTGGGAGGTTGGAGAGAAAGGAGAGACACGTTTCTAACAAGCTCACTCCGGAGATGATCACATTAGCATTTGTGAGAACAGACCCCAGGACCCTATTCACCTCTTAAAGACTGTTGCTCTTAGCCCTGTGATGCTGGGGATTAAGTTCTGACGCCTGAACTTTAGGGACCACTTTTAAGCCAAAGCAGTTAAGCCAAAGGAGTTAGGGATGGAGAGAGAAAGAGAGAGAGAGAGAGAGAGAGAGAGAGAGAGAGAGAGAGAGAGAGAAGTGCCTGGGCTGGTGTTACACTTTAGTGATAGAATACTCTAGCCCAAAAGGGAACAGTGAACAACAATGACATTTATGCTTGGATCGCCGACTTGGTAGCTGGCGGACAGAATCTGGAATCTGGATTAGGGTTTAAATTGGAATCCTCCTGCCGCCCTCTGCCAGCTGAGTACTCTGGGGTCCACAGGCTACACAGAAAACCCATGCCACTCAAAATCCCTCCCCACTGCTTCTGGGGCATCTCTCTGTCTCTCCCAGATGCCCCCTGAGGCTCTATGATGACTGTCCATCAATTAGTAGCTAACTCAGCCTCCTGACCCAAGGTTAATTTTATTAATGTGAATGCAAACTCGGGGTTCACAGTGTGATCTAATCTCCCCCAACACTTTACAGCGAAGTTCCCTTTTCATTCTGAAATATTGTACTCACGGGAGAGGCCTTAAACATCCAGGGTAGAGCCATTAAACATCCCAGGTGTGTCCCGGTACCTGAAGTATGTTTAGAGGCCTCCAGTTCCCGCCGCAATTCTCTCTGTATCTCCTCTCCACCAGGTTCAGCAACCCCTCCCTTCTAGAGCCATTCCCTGGAGTCCTTATTAAAGTTTACTGCTCTCTTGTTCCTTCCCTCGGGGCACCGCTAATCCACAGTGTTAATTATCAGGAAGCGCGTCAATTACTTCCGGAACTGGTTAAGCTAGGTGATCCCTTCTGGAAGGCATGGTTCTGCTGGGGTAGAGAATATTAATAAAGGTTACACCGCCTAAGCACTCAGCTATTCTTAGTTTTAACAACGTCTTTGGTCATAACCGTCTCAATCACGGTAACGAACGACTAGCGGTTTTGAGTTGTCTTTCCGAGAGCCGGCACCACTCTACCCTCGCTGTTGCCTAAGGCTTCACAGCAATCGGGCAGAGGGGGTGAAGAAGTCCCATTTGCAGAAATAAAGGCAGGCTTTTATTATACGTGCAACAAATACATTTCTGTTTCTTAGGTCTGATGTAAACTGTGACCTCCATCTGCCTGTTTGTATATCCTTGCCTTGCTCCTTCCCTTCCCTTGTGTTTAACAGTGTCTAACAGCCAACTCTTTGGCCCTGTGAACACCTTCTCTCACCTATAAAAGGGATTTCAAGAGGCCAGCAAGGGCTGTTCTCGCAAATCCCGACTTACAGGGAGACAGTCCTGGGTGCACTCCCAAATACAGTTTGCTTTAATCATACAATCATGGACTTGGTCTTTTCTCCTTGAGAACCTCTGGTTTGACTTCGCCTACCTCTGCTTCCCCAGGCCTGGGATTGATGGCACAGGCTTGAACTTAAGCTCTGAAAAAATTTAGGGGGAGTAGTGGAACTTTGAAAGGTGGGGCCCAGGATAGGAAGTGAGTCCCTGGTGGGATCTGAGGGCATGGGGGCTCTGAGCCCTTCCTGCTCCTCTTCTTTGCTTCCTGGCGGCCATGATGTGAATGCTGTCCCCCACCTTAAGCTTCCTCTACGGTGCTCCTGCCTTGCTGTGAGCCAGAACTTAACGGAGCCAGGAGAGCGTTGACTGAAGCCTCCAAAACTCATAGCCAAATAAGGGACTCCTCCCTGAAGGTGCCTCAGACACTGTCAGACACCTCCAACCCACAAAATTACATCCATTTTTTTAAACCTCTGTTCACCTCTTTGAACTATAATTTTAAATTATTTATTTATCTATTTTTAAAGACATGGTGCTGGAGAGGTAGCTGAGAGTTCTACATCTTGCAGGCAACAGGAAGTTAACTGAGATCAGGGTGGTATTGTGAGCATATGAGACATTAAAGCGCACCCCCACAGTGACACACTTCCTCCAACAAGGCCACATCTACTCTGATAGGCCACACCTCCTAATACTGCCACTTTCTATAAGTCTATGTGTAGAGCCACAGGTCTCCCCTCCTCCCAGAGTTCATATTGAGGACAACTTGCAGTTTCTAGCAAAACATCTTGTTTGTTCCTGTGCTCCCTCTGCCCACCCTGGGGGTTAGCTTATAGCGTCTTGAACCTGGTAATTTCCCACCTGCCTGGAGGACTTCCACTGTGCAGCAGTTAGGAATAGAAGGTTTTCTCTAAGCTTGAATAAACGGCATTCAGCATTCCCTCTTCTCGAATGACCCATGTCTCTTGTGTTCCTTAATCTCCAGCCCCTTGCCCGGCTCCTGAGCCGTCCTGAAGCACAGGTGCTACCTCCACGGAGGCCATTTTCATCCAAACCACCACAGTGGCACTATTGAGAGGTGAGTAGATCATGAAGATACCCAACTTCATCGATGGTTTAAGCTGGTGACGAGGTCATAGCTAAATGGACTATTAAGAGCTGGGTAGCTCATCAACATCCCATCTTGGGTGGGAGAGGGGCTGCCCCACCCTGCGGCGCTATTGGCAATTAGTGGCTGCTGAGGAAGGAGGACCCTTTCCTTCTGAGGCGTAGCCAGTTGTGAGTTTCCCACAGTCCAGTGAATGACTCCCCACCCACGGAAGTAATTAACCCCAGTGGGCCGCAAAACAAATGGAATACGCATGACAATAAAAAGGAAACTTGGGTAAAAGGAGCTCTTCGGGAATAGAAAGGAGAGGTGTGTGAAACTGGCCACGTACGGACTTACTTGGAAGAAGTGCGTCACTGAGGATAAACATTTGGAAGAAGTGCGTCACTGAGGATAAACATTGGTTCACGGCCTCTTTCTCTGTCTCTGGTCGTCATGAAGTTAGCAACGTAGCTGCAGACACTGATGTTTTCAACATGCCTTGTTGTGAGGAGGTCGCTTGTTGGTTCCTGGCTGCTCAGCCCCGAAATAATCAGACAGAAACTATATTATTTAAATCACTGTTTGGCCCATTAGCTCTAGCTTCGTATTGGCTAACTCTTGCATATTAATTTAACCCATCTCCATTAAGCTGTGTATCACCACAATGTAACAGGAAGGCCGCTTGTTTGTCTCAGCTGCCTAGAACCGAAATAATCACACAGAAGCCATATTCATTAAAACACTGCGTGACCCATTAGTTCTAGCTTCTTATTGGCTAACTCTTACATATTAATTTAACCCATCTCCAATAATCTGTGCATTACCACAAGATCATGGCCTACCAGCAAAGTTTCAACACATCTACCTATGGTGGTAGATCCATGGCATTTCTCTGACTCCACCCTTCTTCCTCCCAGCATTCAGCTCTGTTTTCCCTCCCTACCTAAGTTCTTCCCTATCAACAGACCAAGGCAGGTTTATTTATTTATTTATTTATGGTAATGACAGCACACAGAGGGGACTCTCACATCACCTCCCCTTTTCTGTTTAAATAAAAAAGGTTTTAACTTTAACATAGAAAAATTACATATAATGAAACAGTTATCAAGCAAGAATTATAGTTACAATATTTATATCTACTTTATCTTTTATCATAACTAAGGAAAACTATAACTATCAATTCTTCAACTCAAAGACTCCAGAAGGATATAATATTATCTAAGTAAACAGGAAATGCATTGTAAGCAACTTCTAAAACTCTAGAATTGACAGAGACATCTCATTGCCTGGACAGTCACCCAAAGTTCTTCTGTAATGTTGGGGCATCCATCTTCAACCTATTGGATCATAGTGTTTAGTAGACTTTTCCATGAAGCAGGAAATTTCAAAGACAGTTCTGCCTATACTGGCAGTTTGCTAGTCACTTTCTTCTGTGTCCTGCAGAATGTTTGGCAGACTCCTTCATGAAGCAGGAAACCCAAAGGACCATCTCACCTTTAGGCAAGTTCAGCAGTCATTTCTCTCTGGGTCCTGCATGTCCAGCTTTTACAGCATACCATGAAGCAGTCTAGACAAGAGCAGTTTCTTCCCAAATCGCAAACAGACTCCATAAGGAGCTTCTTCAGTGCCTATCTTTCTCTCTCTTAAAGTAGATTGGTGCTGCCAGGAGCAGACATGTCTCATGGTCATGAAAAGTCCCAAATTCATAAAACATTTTAAATGCCATATTCTGTAGTCTTTGAAAGGTTTGAAGAATATCTGTCTATCCAAAATACATCTCCGTATTATACTTAGAAAATCTAACTAACATGACGATAAGCTTGACTATTATAGATGATTATCTATTAATCTATATTTCTTAATTATACATTGCATTTTAAAGAAGCTGTACAAACACAATACCTTAATCAAGAGCAGAAATATAGATATAACAAAACTGACCTTAAATTTGTATCAATAAACCAAGATCCATACCAATGAAAATCTCTATAGCATATCTCCCTCTAAATGTAAACAAACATTTAAAGACAATATTTGGGAATATTGGCATAGTTCTCTCCATACTGCTTCCTGCTTTTTGTTGGGTGAAGTAATTTTGGGGGGTGTTCATGGTAACCATCAAACCACATTAATCTCGCTGTGCTCAACCACTCAACATCTTGTCATAGTTGGTTATGGCACTAACCAACTAACTATGATCACTGCAATGCTGTCTCCAAGTTAAACATCTTAAGCTTTTGAGAATTCCATTTGTCATTCAGTTGGTTTCCGCCATTCTAACCACACAGCCCCAGTGAGCCCAGTTATCCAAAATTCATATTATATGTGAAATTGACACAAGCTTTCCTATCAAAGTACCTGATGTCCCCCAGTCAAGATAATCAGCTCAGAAGAGCGTGTTTGGGCCACACATGATCCATCCATCCTTCTTGTTTTTGTTTTGTTTTGTTTTGTTTTGAGAAAGGTTGTCCAGGTTAGCCTCAAGCTCACTGTGCAGGTAGGGATGCCCTTGAACTTGTGAATCCCTTGCTTATATCCCCTGGGTGTGGGGATTACAGGCCTGAGCTGCCACATCCAGTTTAAGTGGTGCTGAGGTCAACTCAGGGTTTCGTGAATGTTCGGTGTCGTGGTTTTAGTAGGAATGGCCCCCATAGACTCACAGATATTGAATGTGTGGCCCACAGTGAGGGGCACTCTGAAGAGGTGTGGTCTCGTTGGAGGAAGTGTGTCGCCGTGGGGGAGGGCTTTGAGGTCTTCCATGCTCAAACTACACAGTCTCTTGCTGCCTTCAGATGGAGAATAGCCGCCATTCCCCATGAAGCAAGGGCTCCACGTTACAAGGGAGGAGACGGGCAAAGCCAACATCTAGTTAATGACAGAGTTTTCAACTCAGGTCTGCCGGGTGGCCAAGCTTCATCTCCATTCACGGGGGCTAGAATATGTTCTTGTCACAAAAGCCAAACCTCCCTTTAACATATTTTCTGGAAAATACTTGAAATCAAAATGGCTGGAACTGGAAACCTATCTCTTGGTTCCCTGGTTACGTAAGCCTCCGTCCTGGTGATTACCATAGGAACTAACTGTGTAATGACTGACTCATTCCTTCCTGGAACTCCAAAAGAGGTTCAGGCCGCTCCTCTGCCAGAAACAGGCCTTGGGACAGACCCATTCCAGAAGAGATACAGCAAACATTTATCCGATGGCTGGAGAGATGGCTCGGCAGTTAAGAGCACTGGCCGCCCTTCCAGAAGATCTGGGTTCAATCCCAAACACCCACATGGCAGCTCACAGCTGTGTGTAACTCCCCTTCCAGAGGGTCACCCCCCCACAGACACTCATACAGGCAAAACACCTATACCATAAAATAAAGATAATTAAAAAAAAAAAAAAGTATCAATGGCTGGGACTGTAACTCCATGGTACAGTGCCTGCCTCGAAGACCCTCTGGTTGATCCCCAGCACCGGGAAAAAGAAACGTCTATCTGAACACACAGTGATAAAAGAAAGTCTCAAGGATCCTCTTCCAGGCTTTGGCAGACTGCCCGTTTCTGTGTCTACAGTGTTGCTTTGGCACTGCCATCACGGACTGTGTACTATTTACGGCTTCTGCCTGCTGTGGAGGCAACAGCAGGGCGGGACATAAGGTGGAGACAGCTCCCCCGTCGGCTCTTTAAGGAAGTCTGTGACCTCGGCCAAGGACAGAGCTTAAAGAACTCGGGAGTCGCACACCAGTTTTCGGGCGGCTGCACGGGAAACCCTTCCAAGCCCATCAGAGAACATTCTGGTCCTCTGCAATCAGCCTTATCCTAAGCTCCATCAGCAGGGCAGCTCATTTTCCACCCCGCCATCCCCATCCTGCTCCACCGCTCTTCATTTTTAAAAATCTCATTTTTGACCGGGTGGTGGCGGCCCACGCCTTTAATCCCAGCACTTGGGAGGCAGAGGCAGGCGGATCTCTCGGAGTTCGAGGCGGCTTTCCAGGTGCCCAGCCCAGACCTTCGATACCGGCTCTATCCCCTCCCCCGCCCCCTCGCAGCGCACATTCACCTCGGCAACTCGCTCTGTTTCCACCAACTTCTACCGTGGGTTGGGCCGGCAGAGGCAGTAACTCAGCCAGGCTGATGATGGGAAGAAACCAAGATGGGGGTGTTGGTGTGCCTGGCTTCTGTTCCCCTGGCACACCACCTCCCTCTACCAAAGGCCACGGTCAGGCCTCCTTCCTTCTACCGTGACCCATGTTCTCTCCAGGTTCTTTCAGAGGCTAATGGTTTCCTGCCGTTTCTAACCTTCCTTCTAAAGGATCCGACTCTGCTTCCCAAACCTTGATCACACTTTGTACATGCTCACTGTATATAAATTGTTAATGGCAAGAAACAGCCCTGAATGTAGGACCTTAAAAAGCATTTATAATCAAATGTCTTTTAGCAGCTTTTGCTCCTTCCTCAGCCATCAAACAATTTAAAGACAACACAGTAACATATAGTATCCAGACTGTGTATTTTCCATCTTTATGTGCCTTTATTTTAACCTCTATTTTATTTTTATTTTCAATTTTTGACTTTTTGAGACAGGGTTTCTCTGTGTATCTTTGGCTGTCTTGAAACTCACTCTCTAGACCAGGCTGTCCCTGAACTCACAGAGATCTGCCTGTCTCTGCCTCCCAAATGCTGGGATTAAAGGTGTGCGCCACCACACCCAGCTACTCTCTGTTTCTTTTTATTTTAAGGACTTTATCCTTTTTTCTTTTCTCTCCCAAGCCTACATATATTTTTAAACACACTGTAAGCTATTTAGAAGTTTTCTTCATCTGAATCTATCTTTTCTGTATATCTCTCTTTCTCTGACCGCATGAGTCTTTAATTTGCTAAGCCATATGGCTAGTATTAAAGCCATGGCTTTGATGGCTGGATCCAGCCCATGCCTTAACTTTTTCCCGAGAGTCTAGCCTCATGGCAGAGGTACTGGCCGGAGCCATGTTTATTGCCACAACTCGATGGTGTTTCAAGGTCCCTGCCACCGCCAAAAAATATGCAGTCAGCTTTTCATCAACCCCTTTTAAGTGTTTTGTGACAGGACCTCTTAAAAGGTTTTGTAGCTAAAACTGAGTCAGGAAGCCTCTCTTAAACGAGAGCGCTTGCCTCTAGCAAGCAGAGCAACCCCGAGAAAGTCCTGCTACCAAGCCCAAGCTCGCTCAGGTTTTCTGTGTATGCAGTTGTCTACATGTTGGACACCTTTAGTCTGAGCATTGGTAGAGGTGAAAGGTCTGGCTAGTGGCTGGCTGCACTGCTTCTGTGATCTCTCAGCTTTCACTCCCTAACCTCTGACACCGGGTTTTATTAAGACCAATTAGAATTCATGCTACACAGGTGGGAATCTGGTAATGACTTTGGGAGGAGGAGTCTGCCTTCTGTGCTCGTGACATTGTTAGTCAAGTTATTGGCCACAGTCATTTGGAGACTTGAATGGGCCTTGAGGATTGACCACCAAGGTGCTATAATTCAGATCCACAATGTCCTCCAAGGGTTTGTCTGTCAGGCTAGGGAGAAGGCTCCGTGGGTTACAACACTCGCTGTGCAAACCT